CCTCAATCTCCAAAAGAGTTTAGGGTTAAGAGTCTCTACATTCTTATTCACGTTAACAACGGTTCCGGTTACGAGATCAAAGGCTAAAGCGTGAGACTTCCGATTCAATGGGAGACCATAATGATTCCGTTTCGGCGCAGCTCGCAAAACTCACGGAGCTGGTTCAAGGGATTCACACAAAGTTGGAGATGATAACGTCCGCTACTGCGCATACCAAGACGCTGCTAGAAGAACTGCTACAACAGCAGATGCATCCAAGAGGTCGAATGTATCGGTATCCACAGAGAGATGCAAACGCAGTGCCTGATCAAACTCCAAACACGTTTTCTGACCCATATGACGTGTATTGTGGTGGTGCTTGTGGTGTGCATCACCTTGGTGCACCTGCTTTTCAATATTTTCCAATTAGCTCTTTGGCTTCATCACTTGCTAAGGCAACTCCACAGCATCAGAAAAATATGCTAGGTGAGAATCTATACCCGCTTGTGGAGCAGCTGGAGCCAGAATCAGCAGCTAAAGTCACAGGAATGCTTCTTGAGATGGACCTAACCGAAGTACTTTACTTGCTAGAGTCTCCTAAAGCACTTAAAGCTAAAGTTGCAGAGGCAATGGATGTTCTGAAGAGTGTAGCAGGCGAGCATACCAAGACGGTGCTAGAAGACGTTCATAGTGTCACAAGTCATCATCAGCAGATGCATCCAAGAGGCCGAATGGATCGGTATCCACAGAGAGATGTAAACGCAATGCCTGGTCTAACTCCAAACATGCCTTCTGTCCCATATGACGTGTATGGTGGTGCTCGTGGTGTGCATGACCGTGACGCGCCTGCTTTTCAATATGTTTATCTTGGATCTTGGGCTAAATCACTTGCTGATGCATCTCCACAGCATCAGAGAGCGATGCTTGGTCAGAATCTATACCCGCTTGTGGAGCAGCTGGAGCCAGAATCAGCAGCTAAAGTCACAGGAATGCTTCTTGGGATGGACCTAACCGAATTACTTCTCTTGCTGGAGTCTCCTGAAGCACTTAAAGCTAAAGTTAAAGAGGCAATGGATGTTCTGAGGAGTGTACCTCAGCAGCAGCAAGCCGGTGGTGCAGCTGATCAGCTAGCTTCTCTGTCTCTTGGAGACAACGTCGAAACTTGAGCTCTTAGTTATATGCTCAGTTTATATCCCTTCCTTTTTAGAGTTGAAGCTATTAATCCATGTTTTGGTAAGTATGGGTCCATCTAGTTCATCTTATACACTACAAGTGAGTTTCCACAATGTGGAGGCACAGAGGTACATTTCGTGTAAAGCCTCATTAGTCCATGTTTTGGTAAGTATGGGTCCATCTAGTTCATTTATACACTACAAGTGAGTTTCCACAATGTGGAGGCACAGAGGTACATTTCGGACTCCTTACCTCTTCCGGTTCCCAAATTTGGTCCATTTGATGTTCCTCCCTTGGATTGAGACCGTTTCACTCATGTTTGTCCTCATAGTCATGTGTAGAAGCTATTAATCCATGTTTTGGTAAGTATGGGTCCATCTAGTTCATCTTATACACTACAAGTGAGTTTCCACAATGTGGAGGCACAGAGGTACATTTCGGACTCCTTACCTCTTCCGGTTCCCAAATTTGGTCCATTTGATGTTCCTCCCTTGGATTGAGACCGTTTCACTCATGTTTGTCCTCATAGTCATGTGTAGAAGCTATTAATCCATGTTTTGGTAAGTATGGGTCCATCTAGTTCATCTTATACACTACAAGTGAGTTTCCACAATGTGGAGGCACAGAGGTACATTTCGGACTCCTTACCTCTTCCGGTTCCCAAATTTGGTCCATTTGATGTTCCTCCCTTGGATTGAGACCGTTTCACTCATGTTTGTCCTCATAGTCATGTGTAGAAGCTATTAATCCATGTTTGGTAAGTATGGGTCCATCTAGTTCATCTTATACACTACAAGTGAGTTTCCACAATGTGGAGGCACAGAGGTACATTTCGGACTCCTTACCTCTTCCGGTTCCCAAATTTGGTCCATTTGATGTTCCTCCCTTGGATTGAGACCGTTTCACTCATGTTTGTCCTCATAGTCATGTGTAGAAGCTATTAATCCATGTTTTGGTAAGTATGGGTCCATCTAGTTCATCTTATACACTACAAGTGAGTTTCCACAATGTGGAGGCACAGAGGTACATTTCGGACTCCTTACCTCTTCCGGTTCCCAAATTTGGTCCATTTGATGTTCCTCCCTTGGATTGAGACCGTTTCACTCATGTTTGTCCTCATAGTCATGTGTAGAACTATTAATCCATGTTTGGTAAGTATGGGTCCATCTAGTTCATCTTATACACTACAAGTGAGTTTCCACAATGTGGAGGCACAGAGGTACATTTCGGACTCCTTACCTCTTCCGGTTCCCAAATTTGGTCCATTTGATGTTCCTCCCTTGGATTGAGACCGTTTCACTCATGTTTGTCCTCATAGTCATGTGTAGAAGCTATTAATCCATGTTTG